GACAGGAGGAAGGGAAGGAGGGAGGGAGGACTTACTACTTTACAGGTCAAAGAGCAAAGGGAAGACCAACTGGGCATACAGGGAAATAACTTGCCAAGGACTCTTCCAATCACTACCCTTCTCTGGGGGTTCACATCACCACCTGAAACCAAACCTCTCTGAGGCTGGCCACAGCTTTGGGGAGTTAGCTCTCAGCTCGACTTCATAGGATGCATTTCAATTATCCAATGGGAATTTCCTTGCCCCAGCTCTGATGTGACTAGCCTTATAAGCCGAAGGCCACAGGTGGGTACGGAGTCTATTCCTGCAGTGGAGACAGGGTGCTTCCAGGTGGGAGGCAGGAGGAGAGAACTGGGAACTGAGCAGCTCCTCAACTCAGAACTGTTCTTTACAAATCCTGTTGGTAATCTGCTCCCTACACTGAGTTCAAAGGAGGCACATCAGACAGAGGAGGTATTTGAGGATCTTTCTAAAAATAGGTGGTCAAGACCCACCAAAAAGACTTCCTCTGTGACATTTCCCATGTCACTACACGTTCTTTAACAACATGGTTTTTAACAGCTACAGAATTCTAATTAACTTTTTAAAAGTGGACTTAAATCCAGAAAAAACACATACTATCATGATCCTTTACGAACAGAATACTCAAAAGCAGCTAGGAATGTACCAAGCACTGACATCCTCACCACACCTTTCAGAAACTATTCCAAAGGACTCTTTGTGGGAGACGGGGGAATTATGAAGAGAGAAAAAATATCTACTCTACCACTGAAGGTTTCCTAACAATTATGGATAAGGACATCCTATAGCCCAAATTAAATCAGAAAAAACAAAGGCTGCCATAATCTAATTAAAGTAAGACTAAAGATTAAAAACAAACTATTTAACCCAACCAAGGGAAATTTGTGACAAGGGGTGAGGAAAGTTACCCACGTCAAGTCAAGAAAGAGGAACACCTAAGAGAAAGACCCTTGTCTCTCAGACAGGAAGCAATGGCTGTGACCAAGATGAGCAAGCCTACCTCCCCAGCCTGTTAGCGCTAATTATGGGGTCAAGGACCATATATATGTGTGTATGTATATATGTGTGTGTTTGTGTATAAATATATATATATATATATATATATATATATATATATATATTCTCTACACGCCAGAGTTACTTTGAGACACTGTGCCCAACAAGCTGAGGCCCAGCACCTGGACTTGCTCACTGCCAATGTGACACAAGCCTAGGAAGACCTAGAACTGTCAGCCAATCTCGTGGCCTAACATTTGCTTCCATTGTCCCTTTGAGAAACTATTTCCAACAGCCTGCCGACTCGTAAACAACATTACACAGTCCTTAAGCAGAACCCATGTCACCTGATCTAATGGGAAGATGGAGACAGGAGAATGCTATGAACAGATAACCTGTGAGGAATGAGGAACTGACTGGCAGGAAGTTAAGGCCATCTATCCATTAAGTAGGCAAGACCTGTGTATCCCCATCTTTCAGTAGAGTTCAGAACAGGATTTTCAAGGCACCAAGAGGATACACAGGAGGGAAACAAAGAGACCTCAAGAAGTGAGGAACCAGGGACAGTCAAGTCATACCCTCACCAGCATAAAGTTTCTGCCACCGCTTGAGCCCTAGGTCACTGCTGTCAGTTGGCTGCCCCTTGCTGTCTAAAGTGGCCCCTGCAAAGGCACCTACTGTTACCCAAAGTGGTTTAGGTAAGAGACACCCTGATGCAGAGACAGTCCGGAGCTTCACAAGATTAGTAACAGGTGACATCCTGAATCAAGACAGAAACCAACGAGCTCAAGGTGGGGATTCGAGATGACAGACAGCTAGATCAGACTGCCGAGGAGTGAGGATACTCAAATGCTGTTTAAGAAGTGAATCCCACTTTCACAAATGAACTCAGGAGAAAGCCACACTACACGGAGAAAATAAGAACGCCACTGGCTAGAAAAGGGTATAATGAGATTTATTGACATGCACTTGGAAAGCTAGTGAGTAAGAACAATGAGGCCATATTCAACGTAACTATTTTAAAGCAAAAACTGCAATAGGGCAGGAACACTGTATCAGACTTAATAGCAAATGTATTCTGTCTTGAAAATGCACAAATATAAAAATTTTTTAAAAAATCACAAAAGTAAGTTGCTTCAAATTAATTCTAATAGTTCTCCTAAGCAGTTTCAGGATCCTCTTAAAACTGACCCAGATGTTTGAAAAACAAATAGGAATATTTATTTATTCAAAAGTTTAATCTCTAAGAACAAGTGGAATCCTCTTCGAGAATTCTTTACCAAAAAGAGGGATCAGAAGTACCCACAGTGGACACTCAGCACTAAAACCATGACAGAGCACTGTCAGCTGGCAACCTGTTTTCTGTTCTCCCATCATTGCATAACTCACGAGTCAGGAGCAGGAGCAAAGCGCACCCACAGCAGACGTCCCGGGCGCTGGCATCTGCCCGTGCTGTGCTTGCCATACAGCTTCGGAGGCCAACATGTACAGGCCTGACTCCTACAAAAGACCTGTGCGCTGATACAGCCTTCCTGATCAATGACACACACGTACAGCCGATGAACAATGCCAGAAGCTTTATTCTGGTCTGTCAGAAAGCCAGCTAGCCTGGTAACACTGAAGAACCCATTCGTGGTCTCCATTGTGTTAGGAGGAGGAGGCGCTGGGCATATTCTGAACGTACGCAGTGAGCCTCTTGGAAATAGTTAAGAATGTGGACTGCATAGAGACAACTGGGGCTCCCCTGCAACACCGCTTACCACAGCTCTACAGTCATCGTGCCAGAGGTCACCCCTGCCTATTGAAGAGGAGGTAGTGTCAATTACTGCAGCAAAGAGGCAAAGCAACAGCTTTACCCAGGAATCTGCTTCACAGATTTGCTATTGTAAAATTAACTGCAACGTTGCTAAGAAAAATATTTCAAAGATCTTCTTGTTCTGTACACTGCTGTTCACTTAAAGTTGGATGGAACCCATTATCCTGACCTATTTTTATTATAACAAAGAGACAGAATCCTGGCCGGAAAGCAAGACTGCTTTATCAATAGAAAAGTAGCATTTTCACAGCAGTTTTTTTTTTAATCGCTCTGCCCTTCTCAGCCTCTACCTAACAACATTCATGTCCATTTCCCCCCCAGAGTACAGTTACACAGAATTACAACGTCGGGTCTGTGGATATGAAATCATCTCTTCCTCATGATAATTAAAGCACAAACTATGCAGCCAGACCTTTGTTTATTACCAGCTGTTAATCTTTATATATGCTATTTACCTTTGGCCTCAGTTTCCCCTTATGTAAAGGAGATGGATAATAGAATTAACTCATAAGACTGTTGTAAAGATTAAATGAATTAAAAGAAGTGCTGGCTAAGCGGCAACACACTCAAGCATTAAGGGCTCACGTTTATTATTTCTAAAAACAACGTGTCCAGGAGTCCAAACCGCTCGACAACTCAATATATTAGGAAAATTACGAACTTTCTGATAAGCTTCTAAAAAATGTTGAAAGAATTCTCATAACACTTTGTCTTAAGTTTTTAAAGAAACTGCGCCTTAAGATGCCACAGAACTATCTTGGAATTAAAAAACATAAAGCAGTGGCTTTCACAGCTTCGGAAAAAAAATAAAATTCCTCTCTGTCAACCCAGTGGTGACAAGTAAGGATGTGAATGGCTCCTGTGTCTAGGTCTCACTAAGCTATAAATTTGCTATTTCTTCAAGCAGGAAAAAGCAAAGCTATTTAACTGCCTTCTTCCTGGGATTATAGGGCAAGACCGTAACCGGGAGGAGCTATGGGAGTGTGTTCACTATAGGGGCTAGGGGGCAGCCAAAGCTTTTCCTGGGATGCAAAGGACTGGCAGTGAGGGAGCATTTAAACACAAAAACAGGGCACGGTGAGTTTGCGTCCCAATTAAAAATTACAGACGTTTATAAGTAGTTAACAGAGCTTCTATGAAAGAGAATGCAACAGATACTCTGGGCACCAAAGTTCCATCCTGGAGCTTCCTGCGGTAGCTAAGTTTCACACATTAACCCTCATCAGGCTGTCGCTAAAGGACAGTAAAAAGATCTTAGCAAGGAACCCTGTCCGCAGTTTAAGCGCAGCTTCTCCCTAGGGACAGCAGGCTGGGAGGCGGAGTGCGAAGGGGCGAAGGAGCGGAGGGGCACGACGCCTCTCCTTTCCTGGAAGAAGGAAAAAAGAGGGACCACCTCCCTTCAGTCAGATCACAGAGCCCAGCCCGCGCTGCGGCGGCGGCGGCGGCGGCGGCGGCGGCGACGTCTGGAGACAAGCGGGGGAAGTCTGCAGCAGGGGCCCGGGGAGCAGGAGTGCAAGAGCCGGGGTTTGCTCGGGAGCTTGGCCTCGGTGCCCGGGCAGGGGTCGCGCGGAAGCCAAGCGCAGGGTCCCGGGCTGCACCGCGCCCCTCCCGCCGCCGGAGGTCTAGATGCTCCGCGCCCACCAGGCACGCAGCAGAGGACCCCACGCCCCCTTCGCGCGCAGCCCGGCTCCCTCCGAGCAGGCGCTGCAACCATGCACTCACCTCGCCGCCGGGCAGCGCTCGGGCTCGGGCTCGGGTTCCGCCGGCGGCGGCGGCGGCGGCGGCGGCGGCGGCCGCGGCTCCTCCATGGCGGCTGCAGGGGTGACGGCGAGGGCGGGAGGGGGCACCGGTTCGGCGACGGCGTCTCTCATCCGTGCACCGAGCCCCGCATGGCCGCGGCGGGTCGTCAGCTGCAGCCTGGTGCGGGAGCCCCGGAGCCGCGGGGTGCGGGAGTGACTCGACTCCGCCTCCGCTTCTAGCCCGCCGCAGGAGCCGTGCGCGCCGCGGCCATCTTGGGGAACGGCGGCCGGCCGAGCGCCGGGCTACGGCGGGCAGCGAGGGACACGCCTAGGCGGGCGGCTGAGGCTGCCGGGGCGGGGCGAGGAGGGAGGGAGGGAGGGAGGGAGGAGCGCACTGGCCCGCGGTGCGTCAGGTGTCGCGGACTAGCCCGCGGGTAGCCGCCGGAGGTCCCGAGGCCAAGGGCGCAGGAGACACTAGGAGAGGCAGGGCGAGCTGGGCGAGCAGGGATGCTTCGTACGCTGGAGCCCAAGGTCGATGCAGCGCTGGATCCTGCCTTTCGGAATAAGGATGATGTCACCCAGACGCCCACAGCGCTGACATGGAAGCACGGGCCTTCTGCAGGCTCAGATCATCAGAGTGACACACCAAGCCGGCAGCAAAGGACACCGTCCTCGCCCGGGATCCCAAGGTTAAGAAAGCGCTTTTCCAAAAACTTGGACTGCACAGTTCCTACACTGAAGGTTTTTGTTTTTTAGCTTACCAAATGAGAAAGAAATTTAAGGTAAGATTTCAGAGCTAAGCTAGCTAAGGATAGAGGACACCCCGTGAAGTTAGCTGTGTTACAGAAATGTCTCTGTAACTAAAGAGTTGCTACATTATACGTTGTTACAATAGAGGACATTATGGACATGGCCGGCTAGTGCTGAGTTTCTGAGCTGACATTCCTTTCTCTAGACAACAACGCGCCATCAACAAGTATTCGGTGTACATATTAGGACTTCGGAGACACTGAGGATGCAGCGGTGAGCAAAAGTAAACGGCTCTTTCCTGCATGGAGCTCGGAGCTTAATAAAGGGAGAAAGAAAGCAAAGCCAATACAAGCATTCAAAGGAAATGAACTGACTCTATCGTAATAAAAAAAAAACTACATAATTTTTAAATGACTCATTTGTTTCCATTGTGTAAAGAAAGCTCAGCAGAGTATTTCCCACTTCTCTGTAATTCTAATCATCTATGTCTTTTCTCCCTACACGTTGCTGAGCCTGAGGCCTCCTTAGAATGCATACTGAAGAAAGCTGATCATGAAGCCTCCCCTCCGACTGCCTGGACTGCCTGGAAATGAGCGAACGGGTACACTTTGTGCCTCCCAATCAAACACTTGTCAAACATAACTCATCCTGAGGGAGAGCCAAGGCTGTGTTTTCTTCATTTTCTGCTGGGTACTGTATATTCTAGAAGGAGCCAAACAAATTCACATTCAACTCACCATACCAAGCAGTGTGCTTAGAAACCTAAATTACTTGCTACCTAATTCTTGGTGTGTATGCAGGGACTTTTACCATCCTGTGCAGACTCACTGTCTCTCTGATTGCCCCTCTCTGGAGCACCTCCTGTGCCCCCAGGCTTCCAGGACAGCATCCTCCTCTCTGTCTTCCAGAGGTGCTTCTTTACCTCTAGAGTGTGGGCTCCTTCAGAGCAGGCACCATTCTTGGTCCTGTGTTCTACGCAGCCACCAAGTGTCCCGAGTCCAGTGCTGACCCGTGATAGGAACCTAGCAAATAAATGTTATGAAGGCGTTTGAAGACAAGCCACCTCAGAACATGCCAGATCATCACCTTGCTAATTTCACTCTGAAATCCCTTCAGAAGGAGCCTCCCTTCCTGCAGCAAGACAGGGTTCTTTGGGGGAGGACCTACTTCACAGAGCAGTGCTGGGAGATGCGCTTACTCTTTGGAGATTGGTAATTGAGAATTCTGTAAGCCTGGAAAGACAAACTCCAAAGTAATCCTTACCTTACTGTAGTCCCCTCCATCCCCCCCCCCCCCCCGCCATCTCTTTCCTAATAACAACCCTAGAACGTAATACTCTCTCAGAGACTGCTTCTGCCATTTCTTCACAAATTTAGTGTTCTTTGTCTAAAATGTATAAAAATATCATGGTGTGGTCATTCTGAATTCTGCTCTTTTGTGAAGATCCTAGGAAATTAGTAAAAACTGCATAAATTTTTCTTGTGAATCAGCTCTTGCATTCATTAAGTTACTCCATCCACGTGAAAGCCCACAGAAAAGATAGCTGCCATTCACTGGGTTGGATGTTGTTGCTACATTAATAACTCCTATATCACTGAGCTTTTTCACTTATAGATTAAAATTACTGTTTAGCACAGGACTGATTGCATTGCCTTTAATCATGTTCTTAAAAATATTGACATAAAAATCTATGGGAAATAGTCTGTCTCCAAGATTGAATTCATACAGTGTCTGTTGCTTTATTATTATCATCATCATCATCATCATCATCATTTCAAAAGTTAAAATTCAGGACTGGGAAATTGATGGCTCAGGGGTTAAGAGTGCATACTGCTCTTGAGAAGACCTGAATTTTGTTCCCATCACCCATATTGAACTGCTCACAAATACCTGGAACTCTGGCTCCAAGTAATCCAATCTAGAGTCTGGCAGGTACCACCAGCACTCATGTGTACATATACCCATACACAGATACACATAGTTTAAAAATAAATCTAAAAAGAAAAGTTAAACTTCTAGTAAGGACCCAGTTTAGGCTAAGGTACATAACACTCACACCTTTATTTACCGGTAATTTCAATCCCAATTATGATGCACACACAAACCAGTGCATTCATGTGCAAAGATTTCTGCTTTCCATATAAAGTTAACAAACTATGGACATATCAGCATGCTTATGAACTTCAAACTGTTATGTCTGTGTGTGTGTGTGTATTACACACACGTACACACACACACACACACACACACACACACACACACACGAGAAAAATGGAGCAGGGGGTATTATGGTAACACCATAGAATCCCTTTTACAGTACTATACTAGCCAAAAGTTTTCAAAATGATCCAAAAAGAAGTTTGTGTCAAACTATATAATAACTTACTGTTTCAAAGGACCAAGCTTCAAAGCTGCAGGTTTTAACATCATTGTTAGTGTGGTGATGCATTTTACTTAAAATAACTTTCTCCCTTCCTGGTAGTATTTGTGAGCTCTGCCAACCAACTTCCTGTGTGACCTTTCAGAGACCTCAGCAGCCACGGCCATCTCTATTCCCAGTGGCTCCTTACAGCTCTGTCCAGCTCTGCCAAGGCAAGAACAGTCCAGACTGCTCCTGGTCTGAGGAGGCTCATTCATGGTCACTTCAGTGCTCACAGAGAAAGGCAGATTGAGAGAGAGAGAGAGAGAGAGAGAGAGAGAGAGAAGCCTCGTGCCAGGTGGTAGGGTCAAGGTAAGCTGAACCTTACATATGCAGAGTGATTTTTCCCCTCTTGATTGAAACAAGGACATTTCTATCTCGACCTGCTACTAAACACTCAAACACTGGGTACATGTAAAATATATTTACTTGGCTTTAAGTAGTCTCTTATAACACTAAGTCTCATACTTCTGAACAGTGAAAAACTAGATGAAACCTCCTCAATTTTTGTTTGGGTTTTTTTTTTAGGAGGGGGGTGTTGTGGTGGTGGTTTTCTTGTTTGTTTATTTGTTGTTGTTTACCTGAGAGGAGATTTGTTGGTTTTTGTTATTTCTCCACCAAAACACATTTCAGACATTAGTCTCTGCACAAAGTATAAACCGAGTTTCTATCCTCATTAAACATAAGATTAAATGTTGCACCGGGCGGTGGTGGCGCACGCCTTTAATCCCAGCACTCGGGAGGCAGAGCCAGGCGGATCTCTGTGAGTTCGAGGCCAGCCTGGGCTACCAAGTGAGTTCCAGGACAGGGACCAAAACTACACAGAGAAACCCTGTCTCGAAAAACCAAAAAAAAAAAAAAAAAGTTGCATACTTAAAAAACCGCTTAGGGAGCTGGAGTAACTCCAGCTCCACATGATGCAGAGCTCTTTTCTGGCCCTCTCCGACATGTATGTAGTGCATATAAACTCATGCAGGTGTACACATATACACATAAAATTATCAAATAAACGAACAAATCTTGTGCTAAAAGTTAGAACAGTATGTCTTATTCAAGGAAATAAAACTTAAAGAGACAGAAAGTGGCCAGAGTGAGAACACAGCAGGTGGAGCGGGGAGTCAGCCCCAATGTGAAGTACAGTCCTTTTTCCTTCTGAAAGGATGGGCAGTGTGAGTCAAGACAGCAAGCCCACAGTTCTCCACTTCTGGAATGACTACTTCATCCACATCTCCAAGATCCTGCCAGGGTGAAAAGCAGCTTTAAAAACCAAACACTCTAAGTGGCCCACTCCTTGTGAGCCAAGAATCTCCAACGCATCCCACCAAACACTAAGAGACTTTTGCCTGCTTCTCTCATTGAATTGCCCCCCCCCCCCTTGATGCTCAGGTCGGAGGTTTAGAAGACTGAGAAGCTGCAGCTTGCAGTGCCTCAGTTACCTTTCAGATCCCTCGAAATCAACAGTGCCTGTGCATATGGAAGCCAGGTGCAGAGCCCAGAAGACTAAACAGCGAAGAGGCCCATGCCCTTGTCAGGGCCATCCACCCCTGGCTTCTCCACTTGAAGTCATTTGTCCTTCCCAATACGATTTGAGTGGCCCCCACTAGGAAGACTCTCCAAGCCCCATCACCAACCACCACCCAACCTCCCTTCAGACTTGAACTACTTGATAAACTTGATAATTCTGTCAAGTTCTCTCTTAACATGGTGTACCCAACACTGGAGTCATTCCCGTTAAACAAGAAGGATTTGAGATTATTAACTTGAGTGGGGGACCCACTGTGTACCCCAGGATAGCTTTGAATTTGCAGTCCTCTTGCCTTGTCTCTTCCTGAGAGTTGGGATTGCAAACCTGTTCCACCATGCATAGACTTCAAAACTTCTCTCCTTAAACTTAGCTTGATAATTAGAGGGATATTTGGAAACTATTTGAGAAAGGAGTGATCAGTGGTTACTTTTTCCCATTTAAACGAAGTGTATTATGTGTATTCAAAAGGAAAATGCCTCTTTGTTGTTGGGACCACTGCTTTTCAAAACCTGCAGTGTACCTGGATTGCCTGGAGAGCCTGGTGAACTGCAGGGGACCAGTTTAATAGGCTTGGGTGGGACCAGAGTCTGCATGTCTGATACGCTCCTAGGTGACGTGGGTGGTGTAGATGAAGCAGGAGGACTCATTATGCTTTGCAAAGCAAGGCTACAGAACTCTCCTTGGACAGACCACAGGCCTTTGCTCTAAAGAGCCAGAAGAGGTGGCCCTGTTAGTCAAGGATAACCAAGCTAACTAAGCTCCCCTGCAACTGAGTAAAACCAGCAAAGACGTACTTTTTCTTGTGACAGAAAGCCTGGAAAACGAAGGAAGAAGGGCTTATCCGGGGTCCTAATGGCAGGGGAGACAGTGGGCATGTGGCAGATAGTCGCATGGCATCAACAGTCAGGAAGAAGAAAGATGAACACCGTTGCGGTGCTCAGCTCGCTTCCTCCTTCATCCATTTTTATGCAGTCTGGGTCCTCAGCCCACAGGGGTGCTGCTTCCCACGCTCGGGGTAGCTCTTCCTCCCCAGCTAAATTGCTCTGGAAACACCCTTATAGACATGCCCAGGGATGTGTCTCCTAGTGATTCCAAATCCACTCAAGTTGACATTGAAGATGTGTCCCTCAAAGAGAGATGCTGAAGTCCATCCGGGTCTGTCTGTGCTGCTCTGAAATAGAGTGATGTGTAAATAGTGTTAAGGCACTGTTCATGTTATGGAGGCCAGGGAGTCTAAGAGCAAAGTTCTGGCTGGTTCAGAGGCAGTGAAGGGTCTGGTGTTTGTTTCCAACATGATGTCTCAGTAGGAAAGGGACAGTGAACCTGTGCATGGCAGAAGAGAAAGAAGAAAGAGAAAGGGTCTGGCTAGGTCCCTAAGTGCCACCCCCACTTGGTTTTGAGATAGACTCTAGCATAGGGAGGATGTCCTTGAACTTATAATCCTCTTGCCTCCACTTCCCAAATGCTAGGATGACAGACATCTGCCACCATGCCAGCTTTCTATGGTGCTAGGGATAGAGCCGAAGGCTTCATGCACACTAATCAAAGCACTCTACCAACGGAGCTACATCCTCAGCCGCTCTCTCAGCCCCTTCATTAGGTCACCAGCATCATTGTGAAGGCTCTGGCCTCAGAGTTTACCACTTAGAGACTTTGCCTCTTAGTACGCCACATGGATTTCAGAGGGGACACAAACATTCAAGTCATAATAAAGCTATATATAACCCTAGTGCCTGTGAATGGGACCTCATTTGGAAACCTGGCCTCTGGAGACATAACTAAGTTAAGCTAAGGTCATACTGGGGAAGGGTGGGCCCTTCTCTCAACCTAATTGGCACCATTTTTTATTGCTGATGTTTTAGTTATTTTGTTGTTTTGAATGAGCCACAATATGGTTTGTTCTAATGCTTCTACTTGTGATACTTCTTAGTTCTACGTCATTACTGTACTCCTCAGGACTGAATCCGGAAAGTGGCATTCCTCTCAGAAGAGACTGGGGGTGCAGAAAGACACAGCACATGGGGGAAGACAGTGTGTGACCATGAGACACAGGCGGAAGTGATTCATGCACAAGCTTCAGTGGCAGACACTAGAGGCTAATGAAGAGACCAAGAAGGAGAACCTTCACAGGCAGCTGGCTCCTCGGGTGCCTTTGCTTCCCAGTCTCGTTTCCAGAACCGAGACAATATATATAAGCCTTGGGGTTCACACAGAGGATAGGAATAGCATCAGCTGCCCGGGATATGGAGCATGAGCGGCAGGGAGCTGTGAATGGCCCTCTAAGAAAAACATCCCTAGAAATGGGGAGGACATCAGGCCATCCATGTCACATGACACAGAATGACTTCTTGTCTCGGAGGTTGTATGTGCAAATGCCCTCACACAACAGTGCGGGGGTAGTTTAGAAGATGTCCACATCTCACTACAAAAATCTATTCACGTTAAGTTTGCACAGGAATTAGTAAAAGAGGCTGATGAGTGGTTTATCAAGTAACCAAAGGACCAAGCAATACCTTCTTCAGAATCTTCAAGATCCCAGGCAAAGGTTTGAACAAACATGGATGCTTGCCTCTCCCCCTCCCCCTACATCTGCATTTAGCTGGTCTGAAATGCAGTAAGCATCCATAGGCTATGAGCATTCCTCAGGTGATCCAATGTCCAGCTGGGGTTGAGAATCACTGTTAAATATCTAAACCTTCAGAGGCAGGATCAGCCTAGGAGCCATCATCCACGAGTGTTCCTTAATCATGTGCTTAGTGCCTGAAGTAAGCAACA